TCTTCACATTGCAAAAAGGAATATATTAAAGTAAACCAAACAAGATGAAGCATAATATTGTAACACATATGTTTCAAATCACTATGGCGTGAGAAAAAATGCAGCTACTCTAATTTGAACAAATTAAGTATGGATGCTGATGGACAGTCTACTCGGGGGGTAACTTATCTGAGGAGTTATTGTGGGAATAACTAGAGAGAAGTTAGAGCAAATAGGAGGAGAGAGAGTCGATTTTATTAAATGAACTCAGCGTGGTTTACAAGGAGAATAAGGGCTGCTATTTATAGTAGCAATAAATGCGATGAGAGTACACGTGTCAGTAATCCAACGGCCGAAGGGTCACCTCAATCGGGGTGGTACCGGCAGTGACATGTTCACCGCATTAAATGCGGTGGGTGGATGTGACGTCGCATTAAATGCGGTGGTTGGCTCTCTTCAAAGGGAATCTTCGATGATTGAGTTTGTTTAGCCGAAGACTTCTCACGTAGCTGAGGGCTCCGTTGTGACCGAAGGCTCCAAGTAGCCGAAGGCTCCCCCCTGATGTCGGGGGCCCCATATGCCGAAGTCCCCTGTTTTCTGCCGTTTTCTCCCAGTAGCTTCGTATGCTCGAATCTGGCTGCCCTCTGTATTTTGGAGCCTTCGGCCAAGGAGGCCGAAGGCACCTCAGTGTGTATTTTGGGTTTCTTTGAGACTTGGGCCGCTGTATTTGGGCTTCGAATGTTCCTTGGGCTCAATGGGCCTGCGGGGGAGAAGTAAGAGTCTATGGGCCGGGGGTTCCTGGGCCATATACTCCATCAGATGCTCTAAAACCTAGAAATTCAAACACATTATGAATCGTTAAACGCAACAGACAAGATTGATTATACAAAGCAATGTTCCAGGCGCATAAAATTAAATATGATGGAGAGAAAGGCAACTTGTGATAGTCGATAGAGAATTCAAATCATGTAAAGAACTCAATGGAGTTGCAGAGCTTCGGACTTGGATTCCGGCATACCCGGTGTGAATCGAGAGCACTCCCTCCGTTTCTTCATTGAGATTCATGGAGGATTCCTAATCCTCCATCTCCAGAATAAAATAGCTCCATGGACGGTGCCAATCCTAGCCGTGGAATCCTCCCTCCCGAGAAGAGAGCGCTCTCCAAACTTCCTATCGTCCCTCATAGAAGTGAAGAGAAACGGTAATAGGAAATTTGCTTTCCGTCTCCCCGGTGATATACAGAGGAGGTAGACAGAAACCAATCTAAAATTGAAATAAAAAAATATAATTGAAAATATAAAAGTTTAAAAGTGAAAAGGAAAAACAATTGAAACATTAATGATATATGGGCCAAAAAGTGGGCCAAACGGGTAATTTCCACTATATAAAAACCTTTGTGGAAATATCCGGTTAAGGTCACTTTCGCGTGTGACATATCATTTGTGTCCCAATTCTTTTTCCTTTTCAATTTTAACCTTTTGTATTTTCAATAATGTTTATTCCTTTCACTTTTAACTATTCTTTCTATCCTACCTATTCATATACGAGCAAGACGCAGGCAACACATATTCCAAAGGAGAGTCGGTGGAAGGCCGAGGAGAGCAAGGTTGCGACGAATTGGAGATCGGTCAAGTGGAGACTAGCGGCGCTGGAGGAACGAGCTGCGAGTGGCGGCTCTGCTTAGCGACAGACGGCGTTATGACAGAGGCGGCGGAGCTCATACTCAGGACTGTTCGCCGGATGCCGATGAGTCAATCCGCACATGAGATGCGAGTCAGGTCAAATTCTTCATTCAAAATCTGTATTTCCAGATCTGTTTTCCTTTTCCAAGCAGATTTTTCATTTTTTTTGCAGAATTTAATTTCCGTTTTTTGGAATTCCTTTTGACTGAATTCTGAAATTGTCGAGTAAAAAAAACTAATATGTGGCACCGGAAGACGCATTTAGAGGCAATCGTTGTATGTAGGAGCAATTCTCATTCGTGTTCACATTTAATAATACAGTATAGCCACTTCAAAAAATTCACCTGATTGTTTATCCTTTTTTTTTTATCCGCGATTGCTTATCCATATATTGATAATTTTCCTGAAATTGATGTCTGTTAAACACTTCGAATTTGGTGAGTTCATATGAAAATATTCTAATTTTCGTATATAATTGTTTTATGTCATACAATGCATTGTTGGAACTTCATTCTTACATTTTGACAGATTTAATCGTATTGGGTTGCAAGTTCGAATGCATAGGGGGGGTTTCTATGCTGCTATTTTGCTACTGCCAGGTATTCAAACACAGCAAGTAGTTACTCTATTTAGTCTTATGTGGAGTTCAGGGTCAGGGGGATGGTTTAGTCTTATGTGGAGTTCAGGGTCAGGAGGATGGTCTAGAGATTTTCTAATTATTTCTTATTTGCTTGCTATAGGGATTAGGCTATTCTAGTATGACATCATATTTTATCTCTTAGCATGTTGTAGTTCTTAATATTCAACCACACATATTTTTGTTCTCCAGAATTATTTAGACTGCAGCTAATGTTATTTGTAATTGCCACAAAGGTGTGGACCTTGAGGTTATGCTTTGATTACAGACTAATGTAGTATTAGTGAAAGCTAACAAATAATATGTCTATTTCGATCTTGAATGTCATTCTCCCAAGACATGTTGATTTTTCTAAAAGCTACTAATTCTTTTTTACTCCAGAATGTTACTCTTTTGTTCTTAAACTGAATTTTTAGAACTCAGTTAATACACAATTTTGGTTTCTTGTGTCCTTAGCAGGTCTGTAATATATTGACAAAGTAAACCAGTTTTTTTCAATGCAATCTATTTGTAACAGAACTCTGAGAAAAAAACAAAGTAACCTTGCCTTCTATTTGCAGTTGGAAAGATTTGAAAAATGAAAACTCTCTCTCGTTCTGAAGGATCACATTTTTAACCCAGATTTCGAAGCTTCTCAGAGAAAACTCGAACATACATATGTGCTGAAATTCAGGGAAACTCCTCCACTCCCCAGTAATGAGTATATGCATTTGGAAAATAGCAAGCTTGAGACTTCTATCTCTGGAAACCGATCGAATTGATCTTGATTCGAGGGATTTAGCTAGGATGTGCTGAAATAAAAGCTGTCAGAGACATTTGTAGTTCATGTATTCTGCAAGTCTGCTTGTAAGAAGTACTATATATGTTATAGGTTATGTGTAAATGTATATTTAGAAAACGATCTTGTCTGTACACTCTTATACAAGTATATTGTATAATGATAATTGTAATTCTAATGATAAATATGAAAAGGCAAATTTAAATGTGTGTATTTTATGTTGTTTTTTTCTTTTTGTTTCTCTTTGTTTTATCATGTTGCTTTTTGTTGCATCTTGTTGCTTTTTGTTGATATTTAACAATGCCCGATTTTAATTATTTTTCTTAATTTTTGTATTGATGTTTCTAGGTATTTTTCTATTTTGGTGCAAATACACTATACATGTGTGTGTAGATGACAAAATTTCATATAATAAAAACACAAGAAAGATAAAACAATAAGAAACAAATTTTGAAATTCATCAACAAAAATAAACAAAAGGAAACAAAAAGTAATCATATACAAATTAAAATAGTGCAACAATAGGAAACATATATAAAGACAAAATCTATATAGTTGTATATATAAACACAATAATGATAAATTCTGATTTATGAATATAAACAACTAGAAACATAAATAAAACAATAAGAAACAAATATTTCAGAGTTATAAACAAAAAGAAACAATTTGAAACAAAAACTAACAATAAAACAATAATTATAATAATAAAAATATTAAGTTCTTTTGTTTACTGAGTTTTTGAATATTACACTCTTTAGGTTACATTAATTATCTGGTTTTTATATTGTTTTGAATATTTTAAATTTTAATTATTTATAAAATTAATTTGGTTTATTTGAAGGTTTTAAATGTTATATATTTGTATTATTTTTATTCTTCTAATGTGCATATTTTTCAAGTTTTTTTTAAATAATCACTCCTTCACAAAAGTTTGTATTTGCTTTTCATATTGTTTAATAGCTTCAAAACATTTTTATCTTATTTACACGTTTTATTTATAATTTAACGTCCTTTTTTTGTAACTTTTTAAAACTTTAATATTTTTGATATTTTGAACTATTTTAAACAGGTTTTCATAAAAAAAAAACTATTTTACGCATTTTTCATTTTTATTTTCAAGTTTATGCTTTTCTAATTTATGCTATAAATATCAAATTCTATTTTTCTTTTTTTACATTTTTTCTCGCATTAATATTTTACATGATTTCTTGTTTAAATTATTTTTCTGGTTTAAAAAATATTTTTTATCGTATTTTATAAACTTTAATACTACATATGATATTATTGAACTATTTCAAACTGAAATTTATTATTTTTTATATTTTACATTGTGTGCATTCCGTGTTTCTAAAATTTAATTTTTCATAAAAATTTCCTATTGCTTTCATATTTTTAATAGTTCAAAGCAAATGTTATATTATTTTCCATATTTGGTCTATAATTTTCAGGTTTGTTTAGATTTTTACTATTTTTATTTTTTTAGTCTAAAATTTCATTTTATTATTGTTATAGAATTTGGAATTTTTTATATTTTATGAATTTTATGTTTTTATATAGATTATATTAATTAATTTAGAAAATTCATTAAAAAAACATTTTTTTTCTTTTTTTTTTTTACAGTTTTTCCTATATTTAAAAAATTAAACTTTTGCTATTCGAGTTTGTATTCCTATAGTTCTTTTTTACACTTTTCTGATTTTACTTTTTAAAAAAAATCTCGTTTTCTAATTTTTTAAATTGAAGTTACAAAATTTTCAATTTTGAATGTTGAATGCATTTTGTTGAACACGTATATGCAAAGCAGTGGACACGTATAGTGACGTATATGGAAAGTAGAGGGTTCTTGTACTTCTTGGTAAACACGTGCTCATGCGGATGTGTTTTAAAGCAGGAGGCTATTTTTGAAAACAAAAGCGTTACTAGTATATTTTTGAAAGAAATATTGAAAGGTAACAATATTAATATTACTTTCCAATTAACGCCTATTTGTGAAAATTTCCCAAAACCTTTATAATTAGGAAACAATTGGGTTAGAGAAAAGTGTGAATGTGGGATTTGTGCCGAATTTGTTACTGGCCCATTAAGAGACTACTGTTATCGCACTATCAAAACCCTAAAACCCATATTGCTCTTCTTCATCAATCATCACCGCTTATATAATGTCGAGGCTATCACTATGTCCAAGCAACAATATCAGAATTATTCCAGTTGTTGTCTTGTAATTTTAATTTTCTTTCTGGTAATCTCCTGCGCCTCTTGTTCTTAGTATGGTAATATGATAATGATTCCGTAATATAGTCTTCTTGTTATATTAATCCGTGCACAATAAGCCGATGCTCTGGATTAAAATAATGAAGGAAGCATGGTTATGTGCACGGAAATTGAATCAGAGTCGTCATGTCTGCTCCCTCTGATCCTTCTAAGGACTTATGATTTGGGGGCCTGGATTAGACTCATATTTTACACCTTAAAATTCATTTTAAAAGTTTTTGATCCCCTGAATAGATTTTTAATTGCTGTACTCGAATGTGCAGTATGAGAAATCTCCATTTCATGGCGGCGGAGAGGGACAGAAATGGACGCCCCGCCATCTCTGATCAATACGCACGTCAAGCTTCTCGGTTTTGATCTACAAAATCTTAAGCCGAATCCGTCAGATCTGACCGTCTTCAACCGCAATGGCGTTCGCGTCTGGCGGGTTGAGGTTCTCGGCGTGGTCGTGAGCAGGGAGTTCAAATCTGGAAGTTTTCTGAAATTCACAATTGACGATTCCACCGGATGCATTCCGTGCGTGCTCTGGCTGAATCATTTAACTTCTCCGTACTTCTCGCGGAGAAGTCAGCCAGATGTTCTTGCGGTTGCCGAAATGGCTTCAAAGTTTGCAGATGAAGCGCAGATCGGTGTCCTGGCTAGGGTTCGTGGTAAGATCTCATGTTACAGAGGAGTTGTGCAAGTCACAGTGTCTGATTTGTTCATAGAGAGAGATTCGAACTTCGAGATCCTTCACTGGTTGGAATGTGTTAAATTATCTCGTAATTTCTTCACATAGTAAATACAAATGTAATTGGAATCACAGCCTATCTACCTGATGGCATATATACAGGCCAATGGCCATGTTAACATGTCTACATCATCACCTACATGAGGAACAAAGGTTACTGCGTAAATGAGGGGCCTGGGAAGACGAGAGCGATAAAAGGAGTTTTGGGTTGAGCACAATAATTTTGACATTATAATTCACTTTAAAGTTGAATTTATTTACAAAAAAACGCAATGAGACATGTTTAACAATATTTTTTCATAAAATAATATTATTATATTAATAAATTAAATGTAGTTAAAGTAGAAAATATGAATAGTGTAAAATCTTAGCTTTTACATTTTTTTTAAGAACGGAGGTAGTATTACTATTGATAAATTTTAATTTTTATGTCTAGTGTCTTTTTTGTCGATGTGCTAACTCTAGAGAAAACGTGCCGGTGTGAAGGATTAGAAAATGTATAAGAAAAGTGTGTAGTTTCTTACAATGTCTAAAGTTACCATTTTAATTGTGTCAAAGTTAAGACATGGAATAACAATTTTTCGTCAATTTTAACAAAGAATATCACATTTACTTAAATTCGGATAACTGGGAATGACATTTATAAATTGAATAAAAGGGGACCACACTCGATATAAAAACTAGTTTTGTCATTTTGTGCACTCCATTTCTCTGCGATTTGTGCACTCCATTTCTCTAAGTTCAACAGTAATTGAATACTGACAAAAACATTTGTTGTAAGTATTTTACTAATATTTTTATGCTAATATTTAATTTTCTGTGTAATCATAATTTTTAAAATTAAAATTATAGTCTTATATTTTTTTTTCAATAACATTTATTTGCATATATTTTATTTATTTAGAACACATCAACACTGATAAATGGGAAAATGTTCAGAAGAATTCAATTTTGATTTCGTAACGATAAAGCAATACTCAAGTTCAAAGCTACATTTTGTAGTGGTAAATGGGAAAATGTTCAGAAGAATTCAATTTTGATTTCGTAACGATAAAGCAATACTCAAGTTCAAAGCTACATTTTGTAGTTCTGTCGTAGGTTATTGAAGGACTTCAATTCCAAGAGTGTTTAAATAGTGACTAAGTATTTGTTTTAATTCTTAAGATTGAAAAGTATTCACCCATAACCTGCAATACGCCAATACTCAGCTTTAGGGTGAAACAAGCTTACCATAAAGTCATATGTGTAACTGTGTAAGCTTGGGAATATTCAATATCAAGCAAGGACCTTATGTGTTAATATTTTTACTGCATATGGTCTTTAACAGTTTAACTTAGACATACATATTACAATATTACAACCTCCCCATGTAAGTCTGCCACCATCACTACACCCAGGCTGTGTGGGTTAGGCAACACAACATTCAAAAATCATGGATAGTTCACCACACTGTCCTCCATCCCCAAATGCTACATCCTCCCGGCCATAACCAGTTATTTCTGCCTGTAAATCAACCAAACATGTAACACGCCTATCAACGGACACATGAGATCAAATTTAGGTACAATAGTCCATATCCCAGTGACTCTCACTTTTACAGCAGTGGGCTAACATACATCGGGGAAAGTGAAAACATAGGCATAAAGTGTCCCTGCATTTGTATATACGGAGTATGATATTTGTTTGGGGTAAGTTGACCATTCTATTGGAGTAAAAGCTAACCTAACATGGTAAATCTGACTTATGAACTTGTGGGATAACATAGACTGCGAAAAACGGAAACAAAGACATAACGCCACTACACCAAGACCAGTATTCCTATTGCAGGGAATAAACTTTTCAAATAGTCACAACTCACAACTAATCTCAATTAAAATCATGAGGGTCAGTTAATATTAAACAAAATTAGAAAATGATGCAATGGCCGTATTCATGTTTGCAGTTTATCAAATAAAGGAAATGGAAAATAGAAAACGAAACAGGTAAAGCAATAGCAGTATTGGCAGGGACAATGAACGCAAGGAGGGAGCGGAAGTTGATTACATGCTAAGCCGGTGAGCAATCAAGGAGGCTTCTCTTAAATTCACACAAAGCCATGAAGAGAAGATCTAAAGGGATTAAGGGATACACCTGGCACTTGTTTGTTATTGCTAGACGGCCAGAACATTGGGTAACGATCGTTGTGGATGGAAGGAGATCTATGGACGCAACAAAACAGACATTTGTTGTTAAGGTCACGTTAAGAGATGGGATAAAATAGAGACCTAAGATATTAATAAGGAGTACAAATGATTGACCCTAGGGTACAGATATTAATAATATATATCCAAACACATTTACATAGTTTATAAAAACCATCAAATGCCGAAGCGAAAGATAGCTTTGAAATTGCTTACAGACCAAGCAAATAACCATCTACAATACATTTAATGAGTCTTACAGCCAATAACCAAGCGTAAACATGAATATCATAGATAAATTCACCAAACCGACACTATATACTGCAGATAAGACACATGCATTTTCAATGACAAATCATTAATCAATTTGTTAATTTTTTTTTCTTTTCCGGACTAAGGCTTGGATGTTGTTGTTGTTGTTGTTGTTCCGGACAAATAAAAATAATGTTTAGCAGAATAAATATCCCTTTATTATTGCAAGACTACTAACTTTTTATTTGTATCGATTGATTAACAAATCTGTACACTGCATCAGAGTCAGATCATTTGAATCACCCATTTGATAATCCACTCTATTACTTGCATGGTGAAAATTATAGGGGCTAGTCCAGTGTCCACCTAACCAAAGTTTATTTGCAACACTGTTTTACATGTAAAAAAATGGTAATTAAACAATGAATCCTTTTCGATTTATAGAAAACACAAAAGATGGTAAAATAAAATAGCTGAGTTATATTTAGGTAGTGAAATTTGACATAAACTCATCAACACATAACCAATGACATAACATCAAGTAATTTGCTAATCTAGCCGTTGTAGTCCATGAGCACGTCACTTAGAAGTTCCGGGGGATTGGGGCAAATTGTAGTTAGGATCATGTTCCTTTAGAACATTAAAGATATGTAGGTAGGCCGGTGTAATAGTATTTGCCACAACATTACAACATTTACATATACCTATTACCTGCTTACCAATAAATCTATCAAAAGTTTCTTCTATCATTCTTTATTTTAAGACTGGAGTAGCCATAATACATTAATACTTGACAGTTTATCTAAATGTTAAAATGTTTGAAATTGAACTTCAACCAAAATTTACAACTTAGAGCTTGTACCATATCATTTAGTGCACTGAAATCAAGTCCCATACCCTTCAAATAAAGTGTTTATTCCTAGTTTTCATATCACGTATCAAGGCATGAATAAGGTGTCTAGGCAGTGTATTACAGTATACTAACCTTACTCATGCTGTCATTCAATACTTTGGTAAATCAGAGGCAAAGAAAGCACGGAAAGAAGCAGATCTCACACTATATTATACTAAATCATATGGAGTATCATTCATTCTTGCTCATTTGAGTAAATCATATCATTCATTCATCAACACCCTAAAATGGTAACTTCACCTTTTCCCATCTTGATTCCCAATTAATATCTTCCAGAGCAGAGAGCGATAAACAGGGGACCAAACAACCAAAAAGAAATTGAAAAGCGGCAGAGAAAGAGGACCCTTACAGTGAAAAGGCCGTGAGGAAGCGCGAAAGTTTTACTCGAATTGCACGGAAACTATGGGAGCTCGGTGGAGTTAGGGGGCGGATAGGGTGAGCTGCGTGCAGCGTGAGTGTAGGGTTAGGAGCCGCTGAGAGTGATGATGGAAAGGGGAGGTGTATTCAACTTGACGATAAACAGAGATGTAACATTTGGGAGCGACAGAAATAAAACGGAAAAAATAGAGTACAGATGACAATACCTATTGTACCACCCATAAAGCTAGATGATTACACCAACATTTTTTCATCACTAAAATGCCCCTACCTGCATTGGCTATTATAATAATTTAGAAATATTTTATTTCAAACTCCAATCCAAGTAAATTGCTTCCTAACAATATATTTCCTAAGTAACATGCAGTGATTCCTAATTCATATTTGGGAAAAGCTCTAAGATGAAAAACTATATTCAATTTGAATTGTACTAGAAGATTTGATAAAAATCAATAAGTAACTAAATTTCAAAGTTGTTTATATAAAAACAAATCAAAAATATACTTCCTCCGTCCTCCAATTAAGTTCCCACTTTTCTTTTAGGGTAGTCCCTAATTTAAGTTCACACTTTAATACTTTTTGTATTTGGAAAATGGAAAATTATCTACATTAAAACAGTGTCAAACAGTGTTTAAACAGTGTTTAAACAGTGCAAAACAGTGCACTCCCTAGTAAAGTCAAATTTATTTGTTTAATATGTGTGAAGTTAAACCAGAAACTTAATTGGAGGACGGAGGGAGTAATAAATAAAAAAATATAGGGAGTGTATGTTAATGAAAAAGTCATGAAAATAGAAAGAGAATTTTAGATCTCCTTTTAAGATTTCTTAGATTTAAATATGAAGTAAAATGAAAAAGGGAAGTTAAATTTGTAAGTTCTTGTGGAAGACAAAAACAATAAAAATAAAAAGGAAAATAAAAGAAAAACAAAAGGAAGAAAGAGAGAAAGTTTATCAGGCCACTCCAAGTAGGGATGGACTCCGTTCAGGCCGCCCCGCCCGGAATGGGCCCTGCCCGGTACTGTTTAGAACCGGTCCAGTCTGAGAAACCGGTTCTGATTTCGGTTCAGGCCTAGGCCCGAGGGGTTAAGCGGTTCCAGGCCCGGATCAAGCAAAAGGTGAACCGGCCCAGCCGGGCCCGGTTCGGGCCTTTTTTATTTTTATTTTTGTTTTTTTGGGGTTTGGGCTGGATTTGGTTGGGTTGGGTGTTTCCGAGGGGCTTGGGGGGTGGGGGATGAAATAAATAAGAAATACAAAACAAAACGAAATACTGAACCGGAACCGGCCTGGCTCGGAACCGGTCCGACCCGGAACCGCCGCCTATCCGGGCCAGTTCCGGTTCCCCCTTTCCCGAAAAAAGGCTTGGCCGGGCCCAGACCTGAACCGAAACCGGCCCGGCCCAGGTCCACCCCTACTTCGAAGTATGTACTCTACAAAAATAGAAAACTTTTGTCAAATCAACCCATGAACTGCTATAGAAAGTTGTCATCCAGACATCTGACTCATTTGATCATTTGTTTTAGTATTAAAAATGTTTTTATTTGATGTTTTTTTTAATAAAAGGGCTGCAATTATGTTTTTGGTACGGTGGCAGAGTCTATTCAAACATTTTTCCTTTTTTTTTTTGAAAGAAGTCATATTTGTAATACTCTTTTTTTCTTGAAGAAATTATACTTGTAATACCACTCTCAAATAGTCAAATGGGAACGTTTTTTAACTCAAAGCACGATAAGGTGTGGGGGCCAAGTTATATGAGTGAAATTGACTTCTAGGGTACTTGAGCATCGGTGGTAAATAGAGTAAATGTTTAAATATACAGTATTAGAGCATCTCCAATGCTAAAACGTTAACGGTGCATACGTGGCATGGAAAATAACCAATTAAAAAACAATAAATACAATATCTCTCTCCTTATTTGAAGGATCTTACATCATTTTGGTAAGTTTTTCTTCACAATGTCAAGCACAATGTCTAAATGTTGACATTGTGATTGACATTGCAGACAAAAACTTACCATAAACACATAAGACCGTGGAAAGAAGGAGAGAGATATTGTATTTATTGTTTTTAATTGGTTATTTCCCATGCCACGTATGCACCGTTAACGTTTTAGCATTGGAGATGCTCTTACAGTGGAAGAACAAATGTATTGAGAAGTGAACATCATGATTAAATACTATACCAAAGAGAGAAAATAAACACCTAATTCAACTCATTGATACTCGTATTAAAGTCGTTATTACGTACTTATTACTAGTAGTAAATTTTTACGTTTGTCCGTAGTGTTCTTAGCTACTTTGACTGCAACAAGCAATGAAG